CGGATTCCGCAGGCGTCGTCCCGCCGCTCCTGCCGCGAGCGGATCACACCGCCCCGCTGGCGGGGTTGGCGGCGTCCGCCCCGGCCGCGGGCCTTGCGGCGTCCGCACCGGCCGTGAGCTTTGCGGCGCCCGCCCTGGCTGCGGTCCTGCCTCCTCCCGCATCGGCTTCGGTGCCTCCGGCTGCCTCCATGGTGTTTGCACCCCAGGCAGCCTCCTTGATGGGATCGTCTTCGTCGCCGCCGTTTCACTTCGGTCATCTCATCACCATCAAGCTCTCCGCAGACAACTACATCTTCTGGCGTGCGCAGGTTCTCCCGCTCTTGGGGAGTCACTACCTGCTAGGCTACGTCGACGGATCGCTTCCCTGCCCACCCGCGCTGGTAGACAGCGTGCACGGTCCGGTCTACAATCCGGCCCATCGCGTCTGGACGGGGCAGGACCAGGCGAACCTCTCCTCCATCCAGGGGTCGCTCTCGCCGGCAGTTGCCGGCCTTGTTGTCTTCGCGAAGACGTCTCATGAGGCCTGGACCATCCTTGAGCGCACCTTTGCAGCGCAGTCCCAGGCTCGTGTCTCTGCACTCCGTCGTCAGCTTGGAGAGTGTCAGAAGCTTGACTCCACGGCCACTGAGTTCTACAACAAGGTCAAGGGCCTTGCCGACACATTGGCCTCCATTGGACAGCCCCTCACCGACTCCGAGTTCAACTCGTTTATTGTCAATGGTCTTGATGAGGAGTATGATGCCTTAGTCGAGATCATCAATGAGCGGGGTAACTCGACACCCATGTTGGCACACGAGGTTTTCTCTCGGCTTCTTCTCACTGAGCAACGGGTCGAGACTCGCCGCACCAGGGGCACTGGCTCTCTCTCGGCCAACGTCGCCACCAAGGGTGGCCGCTCTTCTTCATCACCCCGGTCTCCCTTGGGGCTGCCACCGTCGCCCGCCTCGGCCCCCCCACCTACTGCGACCTTACCGGGGGCTGGCGGTCCACGTGTGTGTCAGCTTTGTGGCCGCGATGGGCACTGGGCCTCCAAGTGTCATAAGCGCTTCCAGCGAAGCTTCCTTGGTCTTGGCAATGACGGCAAAGATACACGCAACAATGCCCGTCAGGTCGCCATGGCTGATCGTCCCGCACCGCAGAAGCACCAGGGACACACTCAGTCCTACTCCATCGATCCACACTGGTACATGGACTCTGGGGCGACAGAGCATCTGACCAGCGAGATGGGGAAGCTTCACACTCGTGAACCCTATCATGGCTCTGACAAGATCCACACCGCCAATGGAGCAGGTATGCACATCTCTCATATTGGTCAAGCATCTCTTCTCACTAGACATGCCAATAGGAGTCTTCAGCTTCGCAATGTTCTTCGCGTTCCATCTGTGACCCGCAATCTTCTTTCAGTTCCTAAACTCACACGTGATAATAATGTGCTTTGTGAATTTCACCCTTTTGATCTTTTTATTAAGGATCGGGGCACGAGGGACATTCTTCTTAGTGGGCGGTTGTGCCAGGGCCTCTACCGTCTGGAGCATCCTGGCGTCGCTCGCGTTTTCAGTGGAGTTCAGGTCTCTCCGTCACAGTGGCATGCTCGTCTTGGTCACCCGGCCACACCTATTGTCCGTCATATTTTGCGTCGTCATGAGCTTCCTAGTTTGTCTAGTAATAAAGATGTAGCAGTGTGTGATGCTTGTCAGCAGGGGAAGAGTCATCAACTTCCTTTTTCGGAGTCCAGTCGTGAGGTGAAACATCCGTTAGAACTTGTGTTTTCAGATGTATGGGGTCCTGCTCAGACTTCTGTCAGTGGTCATAATTACTATATCAGTTTCGTTGATGCTTATAGTCGCTTTACCTGGCTTTACCTTATTAAACGCAAATCTGATGTGTTTGATATTTTTGTTCAGTTTCAAAAACATGTTGAACGTCTTCTCAAGCACAAAATTGTTCATGTCCAGTCGGACTGGGGGGGCGAGTATCGCAACCTCAACTCCTTCTTTCAGTCGCTTGGGATAGCTCATCGTTTAGCATGTCCACATACACATCAGCAGAATGGTTCAGTCGAACGTAAGCATCGTCATATTGTTGAAGCTGGTCTTACTCTTTTGGCTCATGCATCTGTTCCGTTTCGGTTTTGGAGTGATGCTTTCACCACTGCATGCTTTCTCATCAATCGTACTCCTACTCGTGTTTTAAACATGAAGACTCCCATTGAGGTTCTCCTTAATGAACAACCTGATTATACCTTTCTCAAGGTATTTGGGTGTGCTTGCTGGCCGCATCTTCGTCCATATAACAAGCGCAAGCTTGAGTTTCGGTTCTAAGAAGTGTGTTTTCCTTGGCTATAGCTCTCTTCATAAAGGTTACAAATGTCTTCATGTTCCCACTAATCGTGTCTATATATCTCGGGACGTCGTGTTTGATGAGCATGTTTTTCCCTTTGCCAACCTTCCTGTGTCCATTGTCGAACCACCATCCCTGCATTCATCCTCTGTTGCTTCTGACCAATTTGATGATGTTGCATACTCTCCTTTGCTGTTACCTAACCATGGTGCAGGAACCGGACGTGGAGCTCGTTTGAAGCTGTTGGAGGATTCACCATCATCATCGTCGTCTTCTGGTGGGCATGTCGATCGCCCTCTGTTGCATGGCATCGATTCGCGTGCCCATGCATGGTCACCCGACGAGCCCGTCGCGCCGAGCATCTCCACTGCTCGGTCTGCTACGCCAGTGATCGCCGAGTCTCCAGCGGCTCGGCCTTTTTCGCCAGCGGTCGCCGAGTCGCCCGTGGCTCGGCCCGTCACGCCGTCTTCGCCCGCGGCTCGGGTCCTCACGTCGCCTTCATCAGCGGATCGGCCCGCGACACCGGCCGCGCCACGGCCCACTATGCCGAGCTCGCCATCGGCCCGGTCTGGGATGCCGGAGTCGCCAGCTGCTTCGTCTGCTCTGCCGGTTTCGCCGGTGGGCCGGCCTTCTTCGCCGACTGAGTCCGAGGCTACCGTGCCTGGCTCCTCGTCACCGGCTGACTCGTCAATGTCGTCGTCCTCCAGCCCGTTGCAGGCTGCTCCGTCGACCTCGGTGGTTCCTGTGTCTCGACCACATACACGCAGTCGCAGTGGCATTTTCAAACCTAAGGAACGTACGGATGGTACGGTTGCTTGGTTGGCTGCTTGTTTGGCTGCTGCTGTTGCGGATCCATCTTCTGAGCCTCGCTCATATCAGGCTGCCCTGCGCATTCCACATTGGCGAGAGGCTATGGAGCAGGAGTTTCATGCTCTTCTTCGTAACAAGACATGGACTCTCGTTCCTCCACCACCACGGGTAAATGTTATTGACTCAAAATGGGTATTCAAAGTGAAGAAGCATTCGGATGGATCTATTGAGCGTTACAAAGCGTGACTTGTTGCTCGCGGTTTTCGGCAGCGTCATGGTCTTGACTATGAGGACACCTTCAGTCCTGTCGTCAAGCCTACCACTATTCGGCTTCTTCTCCCCATTGCTGTTTCTCGTGGTTGGTCCCTTCGTCAACTTGATGTGCAGAATGCTTTTCTACATGGATTTTTGGAGGAAGAGGTTTATATGAAACAGCCGCCTGGTTTCTCTGATCCTGATCGTCCTGACTATATCTGTCGTCTTTCCAAAGCACTATATGGTTTGAAGCAAGCTCCTCGTGCCTGGCATGCCCGCCTTGCCTTTGCCCTTCGTGCTCATGGGTTTGTGCCGTCCACTGCTGACACTTCATTATTTCTTCTACAGAAGCCAGAAGTCACTATGTATCTTTTGGTATATGTCGATGATATTATCCTTGTCAGCTCTTCTCAGTATGCTGCTGATGCTCTTGTCTGCTCTCTTGGTGCTGATTTTGCGGTCAAAGATCTTGGGAAGCTTCACTACTTTCTTGGAGTTGAGGTCACTTCTCGTGCTACTGGTCTTGTCCTTACGCAGAAGAAGTACTCCTTGGAGTTGTTACAAAAAGCCGGCATGCTGAAGTGCAAACCGACCACCACACCCATGTCGTCTACCGACAAGATAACAGCTGTTGATGGTGAGCTTTTGTCTCCCGCGGATGCCACAGAGTACAGAAGCATTGTTGGTGGACTTCAGTACTTGACGATCACGAGACCAGATATCTGTTATGCTGTTAACAGGGTTTGTCAGTATCTTCAGGCTCCCAGAGATACTCATTGGGCTGCTGTTAAACGCATTCTTCGTTATGTTCAGTTCACCCTGACTTTTGGTATGCATATTCGGCCAACTTCCTCTCGGGTCCTTTCGGCCTTCTCTGATGCAGATTGGGCTGGTAGCCCAGATGACAGGCGATCCACGGGGGGTTATGCAGTATTCTTTGGCTCTAATTTGATCGCCTGGAGTGCTCGGAAACAGGCTACTGTGTCACGTAGCAGTACTGAAGCTGAGTACAAGGCTGTGGCTAATACTACTGCAGAGATTATTTGGGTGCAGTCTTTGCTTTAGGAGTTGGGTTTGTCTCAACCACAGCCTCCTATTCTTTGGTGTGATAACATTGGTGCTACATACCTTTCTGCAAATCCAGTATTTCATGCCCGAACGAAACACATTGAAGTTGACTATCACTTTGTACGGGAACGTGTATCACAGAAGCAACTTCAGATCAAGTTTATCTCGTCTAAGGATCAACTTACAGATATCTTCACTAAGCCTTTACCACTGCCACAGTTTGAGGCTTGTAGGCGCAATCTTACTCTTCTCAGTTCTTTAGAAAGTGGCTAAGATTGAGGGAGGGTGTTAGACTATGTATAACTTCTGTACCTATGTACGTATTGTAACACAACCATTATATATAATGAGATAAGCCACCCCTAGAGGGTTGTGCTGGTTCCCAAAACTTATTGTCTTACAAAGTGGAACCATGCTTTTTCATTCTTTTCCCTTTGTCGGAGAATATACAATCTAAAGCCCTACATTTCCTCTTTGAGAAAAGAACAATCAAATGAATTCCTCAGAGTTTGTGTTGTACATCAGAGTTAGAAAATTAAGTAACTGCACACCATTGTTACTAACAGAACCAGGAACTTTTGCCACTGATGTCTCCATCCCGAGGATATATCGTGCGCATCAACTGTGTATGCTGCCCCTGTCTTGTCATCCTTAACTTTCATGCTAGAGGAGCCTGGAATGGAAGGAAATGTCAACGAATAGACAAGCTAGGGAAGTTGTAAACCAAGATAATGAATTTCAGAATTTAGAACCACACAATGCGTGCAACCTCTAAACAATCTTTTACACAACAACTTTAGTTTAGTTCCAAAGAGTGTCTGTCTGTCTGTCTGATGCAAGATAGAGTCGGTAAATTTTTGTGCAAATTATTCCAGAACTAGTCAAGACCTTCAGGAACAAAAATGAGACTACAGCTAGCTGTGTACAAAAGCCTGTTAGCTTCAACCTGTAGTAGGATGCTAAAGAAAAAAAATGTACTACTCAGGTAGCTGAAGTCACATGTATTGAAGGAAATTCAACTAGAAGTTGGTAGTCGGTTTTGCCCAGGTTAGAGTCAACCTATGGTTGAACAACAGCTGCAAGCTAATAATACCAAATGAACCCTAGAATGAGAAGAGCTAGTACTTACAGTTGTAATCGGCCCATCCAACAACTTGGTTTTCCAAGTCATAGACAACCACCTTATTTGAAAGGACCAGATCTGAAACAAACAGACAGTGGCATGAGAAGCATAATTTTTTTTAAAGAAGCCTTCATGCGCAGAGAAGTAATGACCTCCTAGAAGCACCATATCCTTTCCATCCTTTGATTGCAATCCACCATTTTGGAACCCAACACAATACAGGTTATCCTGTACCAAACAGACAGACAATAAAATCACACAAGTGTCATAAGCAGGGGTTCAGAAGACCGTTCACGGGCTGCCCATGACTGGCTGGCCAGGGGCCCTGATATAAGTTTCTGAGTACTGGATTCGTTTGTTCATTGCTTCTTGTTTGATATAAAGAATTAAATGCTCCCTTATTGGCATAATAAATTAATATTAACTCCAAAAAATAACTTAACTAACAGCAAATCCTAGATAAGATTCAGGTTGTCTTTGAATTCAGAGTTGCAAATTCGTGTGGTATGCATCCAATCCATTCCCTCCCTCCCCTGTTCTCCAAAATTCATGTGTCGGTTTCCTGTGTACGAACCAAAGGCATCACATGCAACATTCCCGTGTTTTGAAATCCCGTAGGGATCCACAATACATGAGACCTCAATCCTATGCTTTTTTTTCTTCTATTTTCTACATTTTCTAATCACTGCAACCCAAAGAGGCCCTAAACAACTTAGCACCCAAGCCAGACAGAACCGTGTTATACTACCACATGCCATGCTACAGTGCTGTTCCAACTGACATAGGTCCCTTACTAGGTCATAACTTCAGGGCTGCAAGGGACCCAAGCCATAACTCAGATTAAATTGGAGACATTTAGGGTTCGTTTGCGACTTGCGCATCATTCAGTGTTTCAGCAACTTCTGGAGCACATAATTTGTGACAAAGAAACATGCCAATACGAGGGTTACTTAAGGGTATTGCAAGCTGCAACATGACGAAGTAATGACAATGGGTGAATAAATGTTAATTCTATCATTTAGCTCGAACACCAAGGGTGGAATTTTATATTACCCCATTTTGGAAAAAGTAATCATGTGGATAAACATTCAATCCAAGATCATTCTCAAAACGGAAGATGATTTTTGGAAATCCATCATCTACACTGCAACAAAAATGAAAAAAAAAAAGTTAGGACCATAATAAGATACTCTTGAGTTTATCATTCATCTCTTTTCCAATTTAATTGAGATCAGAACACGCATGCAGTAATGAGGTGGTTCACTCACAAGTGTAAGTGGGTATTATCAATATATAATATAACTAGATATAAGTTCAGTTAGTTCTACTATTTTAACATATATCAGGGTAGACTCAGTGGGGGACTGGGGGTCTTTCCCTACTGTTCCCGTACAAAAACATACTGTAGCAGGGTAGACACAACTGACAGTTAGTCAGTTAGTGCTGTCAATTGTAGCTAGATTCTGTGTTAAAGACTAGAGTATACCTTTCATGATACTGAAAACACAGAAAATCTTGAATACTGCGGAAGGTCATATCCTGATGCTTGGCAAAAATCTACAATTGGCCGAGAAATATAAATAAAGCGAATGAAAGCATTCCTGCATTACAGCGGAAAAACAGGGAGAATGCCTTTTGGCATACCTTAGCCATTACTTCCTTGTAAACCAGCTCCGGAAGATATGTCAAGGTTGTACCGCTATCAACGATGGTACCTTTTTTGTCACCCGTTTCAAAAATATGTGATGGAAGCTGTAGAGCAGTACCACCAACATCAATTGACTTCAGATTCACATTGTAGTGCGGCCTGAGTGGTACAATCATGATAAGGTGTTAAGACTGTCAAGATAGAATAGAGAACATCGGAAAAACAATCTCAGAAGAAAAAGAAGAAACACAAACACACTGAGAATACTGGCAACGGCCAAATTTCAGAAAGTTCTGTGCCTTCTTCTTTGAAATTAAAATGTGAACTTTAAGGAAAACAAAGTTACAAAATGCTTTCCTACAAATGTTCAAACCCATGCCATCATCCCAAGTTCCCAACTCTAGAGATCTACCACCAGGGAAATTGCACGATCCCTTGCAGTTCTAGTTTTATTGACACTAACATCAAAATTCGAAAATTTTGGCTGATTTTTCGCACTAACCAGGCGTCCGAATTTACCAATCACTAGCTGAGAAAAAATTCTCTGCATTACATATGAAGTGCAAAAAATACAATATCTGCCAGAAAACATGTACGTTCGCTTAATTTGGCCATAGGGCGACAGGTAAGAGCCTATTTATTCAAAGATGACAATGAAGCATCAAGTTAAATAGATCAAAGGGAACAATGTGAAGAGAAAAGGCTACTGGCCTGATGACACGAGTGCAGCATATGTTGATTTGTATTGTATCATGACATAAACCTGCTACAGAGATAGCCCACTTCTCTACCCCACAGATATTCCAACCGAATTCACCTTTTCCTTCTACATAAAATTTTATTACCAAGGATTTGTTCCATGTCTTATTCTGTTGCATCTATTAGTTTCATGCTAATTAAACTGTTGGGCCAGTGAACTAAAACTAAAAAGAACTCCTGGACAAGCGATTTTTAAAATCGGGTCAGTAACTAACCATGTCAAACTTAATGCCAGTTGGACAAATCGGTCACATGATTTGATCTAAAACCCTTCTCTGGCATGTTGTAGAACAAGTACAACTGCTGCAGGTACGAGTTCCACCTACCAAGGGCATCTCCAGTTCTCATTGCTCAGGGAAGCTGGGACTACACCAAGAAAGCCATAGTCAAAATTCACATGCCACAATGCTTAAATCTCCCTTGGAGCATAGGGTGAGTCCCACTGGAGGAAAAACAGCAGCTCGTCCACCCAACAATTGTCTTCTTCCTAGATCACCAATTCCATTCCTGCTCCTCCTGAAACGCACCCAAATCAGACTCACCGTATCCTCCTTCCCCTCTGCTCCACAAGTCACCGCCAATCAGGCATCAAGACCGCATCTTCTCCTTCCTCAACAAGACCAGAGTTTGACAGGAGTGGAAGAAAGCCGAGCTTTGCATGCATAGCCCTCGTCTCCACGCACCCAATGTCTCAAAAACACCAGTCCGCCTCCACTCAACCCATGCATGACACGGGCAGAGAATCTCTGGTGTCATGCGACGCTACAGGATTCGCGTCCAAACTCCAGGCTTCTTTGAGCAGCACACGCTGGCATCCCCATCGTCATCTACAAGCGCATGTCACCTCCCTATCTCAAGCCGCAGGCTGCCACAGTGCCCCTCCAGCAGCATAGGCTGATTCCGAGCCCCAGGCGGCCAGAATCACATCCCCACCAAGTGAGCAGCCGCAACAAATGGTGATTGAGCAGCATGCAACAGAGCCTTGCCCGAGGTTGCTGCCTTCTCTGTTCCCATCATAGAGATACCCAGGCTTTGGAGGTTTTAGAGATGGAAGGAGAGAAGAATCGTTTTATGCATAGGCTGATTCCCATCATGAGGCTAAGGACGGCCTTAATATTTTGGCACAAAATGTATATGGCCAACCTTAAGTCCCGTATATGACACCTCTTATTTGTGATTAAAGATGCCCTAATCCTGCAGATATTTTCTCTTCCTTTTTCTTCATTTTTTGCTTCAGGCACCAGTTTTGGGACATCCAAACCAGGGTGACCAGCAAAAATGGGTGTATAACATAACAGTCAACCTTCAGTTCTAAATTTCCATTCCAATTGCTATTTTCATCCATTTTTAGGAACTGCATGCATTAACCAACTCAGCATCTCGATCAGCTTGATTTAAACTCTTGGAACTGTTTTTTCCACAAAATTCAAATTAAAGCTCAGGCATTTTTCCACATTCCCTCCAATAGCCTGATGTGCGACATCATACAATAGTTAGGTATAAAATTTACACACTGATGGATCAAGTACAGGTTAACCTTGTATGTAAATTTTGATAAGGCGCCAAAAATCTGGCAGTTCATATATACGAGCACTAATCAGACATAGCATAACATTCTAGAGCACAATCATGAATATTAATGCCTAGCATTTAACTTTCGACACTCAAAGCTTCGTAGCAGAAAGCATCCTAAACCATAATCACAACATTTACTGCCGATCAGGTTTCGGTCTTTTAGAGGGGCATGAACTCTACGACTGGTGCCAAGCTATTGGATAATGCTTTTTTAGGAGTTTCCGGATTACACATTAAAGCATCTCAATGGGAATCAGGAGTAGGGTCCAAGTCATCCATGTCAGTACTTCGTTATTTATATGGACCAGAAAAAAGCAAACGGAGGCAGACCTTATCTCTTTCTAGCACTAACTAGAGTTATTCACCTTCGTTGAATTCGTTAAGTGTTCAGCTCATTATAATTATGTTCAAGGGAAAAAACGACAGTCAACTGAATCAAATTGAGCTGAGTCACATACATAAAACTCAAATAACTGGCTTGAAATCAGCTCAGGTAAATGGGCAACTCGTCAAAAAATAAGTACATGTACAGATGAACAAAATTTATTAATTAATGGCCATGAACACTTACAAACAGTTGCCAAAATCATTAAGCATTATCTTCATAGAAGAATGGACCAGACCTCCAAGTTACAGTCGTAAAACACATTATGGACATCAACCAAATTCCAAAAGGCTCATCATCAGTGTGATACATATCTTTAAGTTTAATTCGGACTTCAGAGCCTTTAGGAAAATAAGAGTGGTTATGCATTTGTTTCATATCATGAAGGTTTGGATGAAGTAACTGGCCGATGAAATGTAGCCGAAGTTTTTTAATAGTCAATCTGAAAAAGGAAAAATAAATTTCCGAAAAGAGGTTTTTTTGATGGTCAAACTGAAAAGGGGTTCAGTTCCTCTTTTTTTTTTACTGATTTCTCGACTTCTCTATATATTCTACTCCCTCCGTTCCATAATTCTTGTTGTGGTTTTAGTACAAATTGAACTAAAACCATGACAAGATTTATGGAACAGAGGGAGTAATTAAGTTGCTGACATGGCAATGTGCTGAATATAGAAGTGGTGCCACATGTCATTTCAGTCAGCACAAAACTGCTTGGGACAGGCTAAGGGAATAATGCCAATTGATTCAAGAGTTCAAGATTAAAAAGAACAGGTTTCAGAGTTCAAGGTTGAAGCAGACTTTTGTGTTCAAAAAGATAACAAAACAGGAATTGAAGTCGTCAATTTTTGTGTACTTATTTCTTTGTTCCTAATATAGAATTGTGATGATCTCTCCTAAAGCAAGTGTTATTATTTATTCATTTGCAATAAACTGGAGCATCTATTAGAGGACAGCTGTTGAAAAATCCCTATCAGTATAAGACAGATAGAATAATAACTTTATGGTGATAAGATGAACATACATATTGGGTATCAATGGTGTTGATTTTATTTTTGGCTGTACAACTTCTCCGATAGCAAAGATTCCACCTCCAGTTATGGTATCCAAACAATGAGAAAATATCTTCTTCACTTTTCCTGCAGCAGCTAGCTGTGATAGCATTGATGTATTTGATTGGCCAAACCCAATAATTCCATCAAGGGCCTGGTTTGTATTTCCTAAATCCCCACCTTGCTGAGCACCACACCTACAAAGAACAGAAGGTCCATTTATCCACATTAAATTCTTGAGCTCGATGTACTTGCTGCCAAAATTTCACATAATTAGGTTAGTCTGTTACTGTCATGTTAATTACTTGATTGTTGTTGCCTACTACATTGCAGTATTTTCTGACAAAAGTATGTTATAATATTCCAAACAAACAGCAGAATTTGATTCCTTACTTAACAGCTACCTATTCATCAATATACTAATGCCACAAGTGCATAACCAAGGCAGAGGACAAAGAATCCAGCTTAAACATCTCAAAGAGAAGAAAATATATTCAGCTACATAGTAACAGAAAAGAAAAACATTATGTAGGTTTGGCAGATGGGCAAGAATTATGTAAACATTTTCAGAAAATAGTATATAAAATGCTGCCCAAAGTATAATATAAGCGTTACGTAACAGACACTAACTATTACAAATTCAAATGCAAAGGTGATTAATCACGCCATTTTACAATAAAACAATTAGAGCAGCGTTTCAACCGATGATAGCTGATCCAATGTATGTCATCCAATAATAGCTTTTAAATCTACATAAATCAAAAAAAAAAACTCACCCGAATGTGACACTGCCATTGCCATGCCGTGTTTGCCCATCCCCAGCGACTTGATTATACTGCAGCAAGTCACTGACGAAATAGCCCGTGGTGGTGCTACCGTCACCATACATGACACTGTACTCGCAAGGCAAGCTCGCAGTGCACCCTGGTAGCTTGCCCCCGTATGTGGCGGCACAGAACGGTTGGTCGCATGATACCGTGCTCCCACTAGATGATCCCTTGGGGTCATACAGCATCAGGTCTATCTGCACCCAAACGTTCACCCCAAAAATCATCGTCATATTAATTCAGAAACATGATACCAACAGAAACCGAGACCTCTAAATTTTCACTAGATAAACATAGGCAGGCAAACTGAGAGACCGACCCCGAGGCCGCTCTTGTGGGGGCATTTGTCGCAGGTGATGCAATTGACCCAGAGGATGTCGCTGCCGGTGTCCACCTGCACGTGGAACGGCTTGGGCGGCGTCCCGATCTCGATTTTCGTATAGTACAGCCTGCGGACGAGCCCCCCGTCAGACCAGACCTAACGAAACCAACCAGCACCGGAACCAACAAGCGCGGATCAGAGGATGGAAGTACCCGGTGTCGGTGGGGAGGCCAAGGCCGCCGAGGGGCACGTCGACGGCGTCGAGGAGACGGCCCCGGCGGCCGATGTCGTGGGCGAGGTGGGCGGTTATGTTACCGCCTTCCTCGCCGGCAGCTCGCCGGAACTTGCGGTGCACCTGGAAGACGCCGGTGGCCGCGGCGGCGTGGGAGGAGGCCAGCGCGAGCAGTGCGGCGAGGAGGAGGGCGGCAACGGCCTGAGCGGCGGGCGGCGGAGCCATTATTCGCGTCTCGGCGCGTTGTGTGTCTCCGGGTGGGATTGCTCCCGTGTAGTGGCGATTGTTATTCGTGTCCTCCTCCCTCCCCTCCCCCTCCCCTCCCCTTCCCTCCCCCTCCTCGTCGGCTCCTCCTCCCCAAGGCCGCGGGGGCAAGGCAAGCACAAAACGTTGGGAGGAGGAAACGGGAAGGAATTTTGGGAGTGCCCACGGGCGGACGGACATATAACCCGTTTTTGCGCTCAAAAAAGGGTGCGAACTAGCGGTTTCTGCGGGGGCTAATCTTTTGCTTACCTAGACTAGACACTTTTTTTGATTGCGTCGTCAGTGTTGCGATTTGGTGGGAGATGGTAAAACTGGTTAGCATAAATAACATTTAATTCTACTAGTTATTATACTTTGGTGTAGACTAATTACTAGTATGAAGTTGTAATTCATTATTAGTTACTGCATTTCAAACACAGTTTAAAATTTCCACACACATGCAGGAACAATAAAACGCAAACATACGCAACTAAGGAGGTTCTCATGAGTGACCAACCATAGCTTCTCTCTACAACTTTAGAGATTCCTAACAGCTTAAAAGGAACGTATATAGAATTCTTCATCAACAGCCTCCCCATTTTCCATATCACTAGACATAAAGGCGTGTGTTGCTGCTCCCGTCAATCTTGATGAATTAATGGTATACTCCCTCTGTTCCTAAATATTTGTCTTTCTATATATTTCAAGAAATGACTACATACGAAGCAATATGAGTGAATCTACACTCTAAAATATGTCTATATACATCCGTATGTGGTAGTCCATTTGAAACCTCTGAAAATACAAATATTTAGAAACGGAGGGAGTAATACTTTAGAAAATATGCATTGCATGTATATAAATAAATTGAACTACACATGCCTCAATCCAAAAGAGATATATTTGTTCACAATTTCATAGTCATTTCATGTCTTCAGTACATAAGTGCATAAATACACACAATATCTAAACAAAGTTGTAAAGATGCTTGAGTAAAAAAAAGGCAGCTTATCCCTAGTGGAACTTCCATTAGCATGTGATGCGTCCTATTGTCAAACTCTATTCTTACATTTTGGGATTGAGGGAGTATAACAGAAGTCTTGATGATAGAGTTTATGTGTCCTTGCTTATCCCTAGTGGAACTCCCATTAGCTTGTGATGCGGCCTTTGCACGACATTCCAACCAATCTTCAAGAGTAATACATTTTGGTGTTCTCGAAGCAAAAGTTGCCACAATCAAACTCTTTGACAGAATTAACTATAGCGACCACTGTCAAAGATGGAAGCGAGGGTGTTGCTATTGTAGGCGCACATCGGCTGCCTCTGGCTACTCCCGGAGTAAAGTATTGGAAGCGGCTCCATCAACAAGAACAGGAAGAGAAGGCTATGGCGCAGGCTGCATGTGTTACACATGCGGTCTTTGGAGTCCCCACTCCACCAAACAGCAGCAGCGACCTCTCCAGTAGCAAGATGACCTTTGCTGCCATGTTTGAGAGTACGGCTGGCAGCAAGAGGCGTGCACATGATGATCAAGACTTTCTTCTTAGCATGCATAGCACTAGTACTGATAGTTTAGATGTTAGGGGTGCTACTGATATGAGTGGAACATGTAAAAGAGTGTGTGTGGAGAGAGTTGGAACTGTACTAGGCATAGATGGCTCCACTGTTCATGTTACAAAAGAACTACATGAGGGAGAGGAAGAGGTCCAGAATAGGAGGAGGGAGTCTGTAGGGGATAATACCAAGGAAGCTACCGGCCATGGGGCTGCCGGCCAACTAACGAGCGCGAATGATGTCGTCCGTCAGGAGCCATGAAAATAATTTGTTGAAACTGACGAGGTCTGCGTCAGCCTTAGACAGTCCAAGAACTTGTGTGCCTTTCAAAGACACACCAGCCCAACGTTATCTTTCTTTCTGAAACAAGGCAAAATAAAGAGTATGTTGAGAGTTTGCATTATCGTTTGGGTATGAAAAATAACTTTACTATTTCCGTGCCAGGCAAAGGAGGTGGATTAGCTATCTTTTGGGATGACCTATACACTTTGGAGCTGAACAAATATGGAGAACATTTTATTGATATGTACATTTTTAATGGTACTGGCACAAAGTGGAGGAGCACCTTTGTCTATGGGGAACCAAAGGCGAGCCAAAGGTATGTTATGTGGGATTTGTTAAGGCGCATAAAACCACTTAGGTCTGGGTCATGATTTACTGTCGGTGATTTTAACGAGGCAATGAGGCAAAATGAGCATTTTTCTCGGAACAAGCAGTCTCCAAAACTCATGGTTAATTTCCGCGAGATTATCTCTGATTGTAACTTATTTGATTTGGGTTTCCATGGAGTTCCCTGGACTTACAATAATAAGCAGGAAGGGAATAAAAATGTGAAGGTGCGGCTTGATCGTGTAGTGGCGTGTCCTTAGTGGTCTTCTATTTTTCCAAAATTCAAGGTATCACATATTATCAGTTCCAGTTCAGATCATTGTCCTCTACTCATTGATTTGCTGGGAGATCCTCATTCTGGTACGTTTGTTAAACATTTGAAATATGAATCATACTGGGAGAGGGAAGATGCGGCATTGGAAACACAGATTGAATCATGTTGGAATAAAAGCATGCATGTAAACGATCTGGGAGATGTAGCAAGCAATTTGGACAAGTTGATGAAATCTCTTCATGGGTGGAGTAAGGAACACATTGGATATATACCCAAAAAGCTAGAAAAGGCCCGTAAAAGATTAAGTTGTTATTCAAAAGAATGATCATAATGCTATAGTGGAGAGGAAGAAAATCCTTATGGAGATGGATGAGCTTCTGATTAAGGAAGAAATTATGTGGGAGCAGAGATCTTGTTTGGACAAAATGAAATGGGGGGATAGGAACACAAAATTCTTCCATAGGCAAGCCACTTGGAGAGCGAAGAAGAATATGCTATCAAAAGAAGCGGTGGGTCTCTGATACGTCCATTTTGCATCATGCTTTTATGTTGATATTTATTGCATTATGCATTGTTATTTCACATTATGGTACAATACGTATGCCTTTTCTCTCTTATTTTACAAGATTTATATGAAGAGGGAGAATGCCAGCAACTAGTATTCTGGACCGGAAAGGAGCAAATCTGAGATACCTATTCTGCACAGCTCCAAATTTCATAAAACTTTACGGAGAATTGTTTTGGAATATATAAAAATATTGGGCGAAGAAACAACAGAAGGGGACCCACCAGGTGGCCACAAGCGACAGACTTGTGATATGGAAGAAATAAAAGCAACAGATTGCATAATAAAGTTCTTTATCACAAGCGGCAATATAAAGTAACGTTCTTTTGCATTAAGATTTCGTGCATCCAACCATAAAAGCGCATGACAACCTCTGCTTCCCTCTTCGAAGGGCCTATCTTTTATGTTTTATATCCTACCTTTATACAAGAGTCATGGTGATCTTCACCCTTCCTTTTTACACTTTCTCTTTTTGGAAAGCACTATATGTTGGGGAAAGATCCAGACATACATATCCACTCGGATGTAGGTGATCATAAATTATTATTGTTGACATTACCCTTAAGGTAAAAGGTTGGGAGGCAAAATTATAAGCCCCTATCTTTCTCTCTGTCCGGCTAAGGCTTTGATCTCATAAGTATCGCGTGAGTGTTAGCAATTGTGAAAGACTAAAAGATGGTTGAGTATGTGGACTTGCTACATAAAATCTCTTACAATGACTCTTTCTGATATTATGATAAATTGCAATTGCTTCAGTGACTGAGATCATAGTTTGTTAGTTTTCAATAAAGTTTTTGATTCATAATTTACCTTATGAACGAATTATCACTTTAGCATAAGAAGTTATATGAAGATATATTATTGTTCTAAAAAGATAATCATGATGCCCTCATGTCCGTATTTTAGTTATCGACACCTCTATCTCTAAACATGTGGACATGATTATCGATTTCGGCTTTCGCTTGAGGACAAGCGAGGTCTAAGCTTGGGGGAGCTGATACGTCCATTTTGCATCATGCTTTTATGTTGATATTTATTGCATTATGGGTTGTTATTTCACATTATGGTACAATACTTATGCCTTTTCTCTCTTATTTTACAAGATTTACATGAAGAGGGAGAATGCCGGCAGCTGGAATTCTGGACCAGAAAGAAGCAAATATGAGATACCTATTCTGCAAAACTCCAAATGTCCTGAAACTTTACGTAGAATTGTTTTGGAATATATAAAAAATATTGTGCGAAGAAACAACAGAAGGGACCCACCAGGTGGCCACAAGCCTGGGGAGCGCCCTACCCCCCAGGGCGCGCCCCCAGGGCTTGTGGGCCCCTTGGCCATCGTCTGGTGCCCATCTTCTGCTATATGAAAGGTTTTAACCTAGAAAAAATCATAAGGAAGCTTTCGGGACGAAGCGCCGCCATCTCGAGGTGGAACCTAGGCAGAAGCAATCTAGGGCTCCGGCAGAGCTATTCTACTGGGGAAACTTGCCTCCGGGAGGGAAAAATCGAAGCCATCGTCATCACCAACGATCCTCTCATCGAGGGAGGGTCAATCTCCATCAACATCTTCACCAGCACCATCTCCTCTCAAACCCTAGTTCATCTCTTGTATTCAATCTTTGTCCCAAAACCTCATATTGGTACCTGTGGGTTGCTAGTAGTGTTGATTACTCCTTGTAGTTGATGCTAGTTGGTTTATTTGGTGGAAGATCATATGTTTAGATACTTAATGATATTTATTACCCCTTTGATCTTGAACATGAACATGCTTTGTGAGTACTTTTGTTTGTTCCTGGGGACATGGGAGAAGTCTTGTTATAAGTAATCATGTGAATTTGGTATTCGTTCGATATTTTGATGAGATGTATGTTGTCTTTCCTCTAGTGGTGTTATGTGAACGCTGACTACATGACACTTCACCATGATTTGGGCCTAGGGGAAGGCATTGGGAAGTAATAAGTAGATGATGGGTTGCTAGAG